CTGCTACAAAAATAAGTAATTTTGACTACGGAATGTGAGCAAATTAAAGTATCTATAGACATGTGTATTTGAAAACTTGACATATTGACAGCAAGTCTTTATTAATTTTCATGTACAAGAACTATACCGAGTACCGGTATATGATATTATGTTTACTACGCTCTGTAATTATAAAAATTATACATTATATACTCATATTTTCACTCTACATCCAGGTACCTGAAGTTTCATACTGCCTTTTACAATGAAACTAATGTATTAGTGACACATCCACTGTCTACAGCTAAGCACTATCTAAAGTAAGTCTGTTTCTTTTTTTTAATGCTGAGAATTTTTTTTTTATTTTTATCAGTCAGAAGTTTCTTTAGCTTTTTTTCCCATATCACACTGAGCTTTGCTTCCTCCTTTTTTTTCTTACTTTCTATTAACACATTGCCTACTAAAAGACTCCACAGATTGCCGAAATGAATGGTATATATAGCAGGCAGATATGTCAAAGTCTTGCTAGGAATTATAGATCAAATACTATTGGTACTGTAATGCTGTAAAATACAAATTTTGTGGTAATTTTTTCATTTGGTCCTACCTCAATTCTTAAATAAAAAGTATGGTATAGCTTTAACTATTATACTAACACAAATGATATTGCAAATAGTTTACATAAAAAAAAATTACAATTTTAAAAAATTAGTCGAGGTTGTTTGAACGAATGTTACAGCATATATAGAGTCTTATTCAGTTTACTCTCTTTTTTTTTTCCAGAACCAATTTTATGTTTGATTTGGTTGCCTGTTTCCCTACAGAATTAATTGCTTTTGCAATATTAGGTTCATTCTCAGGTTTGTTGCATCTACATGTACTTTTATATTATTACAATGAATATATTACACTACCATTATTTAGATGTCTTGAAATATTACAATTCCTATGCTGTAAATTCCCAAAGAAGATAATCTTGTTTTCTTTTTTCCGTATAATACTAATAATAACTTATTGGTTTTCAGGTTATGCTATACATGTATATGCTTTAGTAAGACTAAATAGAATTCTTGGTGTATATAGACTTGTAAGTACGCTACATTTTACTTTCATTTTGTGAACTATATACAACCTGAGAATACTGCAATAACAAATTACCATTTTAATATAACAAAATTATAAAATTGAAGCTGATATCTTGGTGCATAAAACCACATATGCATAATAACCAGAAATATAGCAACCCGCCTTCACACACAAAATTGACACTACCAGACTGTTGCATAGCAACTGGAGATCCTCAAACTAAATTATCGCATGGAAATATGTATCAATTGATTCCACAGATGTTACTACTATATATGTACTAACTTGGCATTGCCTTTGTTCTTGTCAACACAGCCACTGGCTTTCAACTTTTTAGAGTCTGGTGTAGAACATGAAACTGGTTTTATCAGGTTTGTTTTTTTCATCTACTCTGTATACTAAGGTCTACCATATTTGCTTTATTAGTAAGACATGCACATATGTCTGTGGTCATACATGTTACTGTTGGTTTACATACACTTCTGTTGGAGAATACTTTCTAAATGAGCAAATATGGTTATGAAATTCTGCAAATTGTTGTGTTAGTTCAGATGTTGTCATAAGCCATAAATAGCTCTTTGGAAAAAAAGGTTGGCATAATAGCTTTATTCGATTATACATTCTGTAATTTGTGTCTTCTGTTTCGTTATAGAGAAGTGAAATTTTTATTTTATTTGCTGAAGTTCATTCACCTGTTGGCATGCCTGTGGTTCATCAATGCTTGTCCCCCAATCTTCTCAAGTAACCCAACTGTTGATGACTTATCAGGGCGAGTGAAAACACACTACCATATGTGCCTTAACGATTCATGGGCTTTGAAATATACAGACCATAATATGAGTAAGTATTTACACGTCATATTCCATGAAATTGAATTTGATCAGAGCTTTGTGGAATGATTCATACTTTGTGTCGGGAATTGTGATTTACAACATATTTTCAGTACAGTAATCAAAATGTAAGCTTTTCACCACAAATTCACGAAATATCCCAAAAATTGGGACAAATATAGTCCAATATTTTGATTGAAAACTGGAAATTGTCTCCAAAATTACGGTTCATTTCCAGGAATAATGAAAAATATGAGAAAAAAAATGCAGAATAATTTGGAAGAGAAACCCAGGTGATAAAAAAGTTCAAAATATACCTGGTTATTTTACCATGCTGAAAAACTGGGTTTCCATATCTGAGCATGTACACTTGATATTAAATAGCGCCACCACAAGGTCAATCAGTCACAGATGAACAGTCAGTCCTCTTGCAAAACTCACTGAACTTGCATTTTCATGATGGCATTCATTCTCAATAACAAAACTGAGTGAGTGTTGATTGTCCTTCACAGCTGCTGAGAGTATAGCTGGTCAGTATATTGTTAGTCTGTATTGGGCCTCGGCTACAGCGGCATCTGTAGGCTATGGTGATATACATGCAAATAATGTAGGAGAGGTGAGTACTGTGATTTTAACACTTTGAGCGTCAAAGTCTACTTTATCACCATTCAACAAATAAATTTGCTGAATTGTTTCCATAATTTTACAAAAATGTTGATAAATTTCTGTATTTAATGAGAAATTATGTCCATTTGATTCAAAATTAACAAAAAATGATATAAAAATATGTACAAAAGTGACACTAAAATGTTGGTGGAATAAAATATGGAGTTCTAATACTAGTAGTTACAACTAATGAATGCACATAATTTTATTCATATAGTTTTTCTTAATTTGTTATCATCTCTAGCCAATTGAGAATAATAGAACAATCGCAGTTATGCAAATGTTAAACTTATTTGTACATGTGTTTTTTTTGTATTTACAGATGGTAATTGCTTTGCTGTCTATGATTATTGGTATTGTCTTCTTTGGTTACATCATTGCTAGTGTGGCTGCTAGTTTGGCTAATGCTGATGCTCAACGGGCCAGGTACCAAGAAAAACTCACCAGTATAAGACGATTTTTGAAGGTAATATAAATAAACAAGTTTTTTTTGTGTTCAATATCAGATCTAGTTGATTATTGCATTCGATACGTGACAGTACATGTGTATAGCCTGCAGGAAATAAATGATATACTTTTTTTGACAGGACCAAGATGTAGACCTTGCTCTGCAGCGTCGTGTGATTGGATTTTATCAGTATCTTTGGATGAGAACCAAAGGAGTTGATCCCGATTCGTTGTTTGATGGACTTCCACTGTCACTCAAAGCAGATGTCACCCTCAGTCTGTATCGGGAAATTATAAACAAGGTATTTTATTACTTATGGGATAAAAATTTCATAGACAAGTGCTATCCATTGTATAGGTCACAGATCAAAATGCCACACTTGTATATTCTTATTTCAGGTACCATTGTTCCAGGATACAGAAATAGGTTTTCAAAAAATGTTGTCCATGTGTATCAAACCTACCCTCTACCTTGGAGGAGAATACATTGTAAAGAAACATGACATTGGAAGTGAGGTATGCAAATTATGTAACTTTTTTTTTCATATATGTATTTACTTGTAAAGAAATATGACAAGCCCACTGAATATGTTTAATGTGTTAATTTTGTCTATGTATAGATGTTCTTTATTCACCGTGGAATTGTTGAGGTGGTCTCTGAAGATGGAGCTATAGTTTTTGATACTATGCAAGGCGGTAGATTCTTTGGTGAAATCAGTTTAGTGTTTAGCGTACCAAGGACAGCTTCTATCAGGTGAGCTGACCACTTTTTGCCTTGCCAATCATACAATGTTAGTGGTGTTGAATAATAAAAATATAATGATCAAATGGTTTTCTATTTTTTATTTAATTTTTGGTAATATGTTGATCCCTGGTGTTATCTTATGACTGTAGTGTTATTTTTCAATCTAAGCACACGAAGCGCAACTCCCAATCCCCAGACAACATCTATTTTCTGCATCCTTGCCAGTTTTGGCAAGTTTTTTTGCCAGTTTTTGTTTAATGCATATAGGTATTGACAACAAAATAATACTTTTTTACTTAACAATATTTCACTTGTTTTTGACAAAGAAGGAATGCTAAAAGTGTTGTTGGCAAGATGATGTATTATTTCCTATGATTATTCTCTAACAGTCTTGGATGATTCAATTCCCTAATGTCATGTTTTGAATTTTTGCCACCTGCAGTATTTCAGAGCAGTGAAGCAGATAATTCAAATTCAAATACACATTCAAATGGGAAACAAAAACATTCTTAAATATTTGCTGAAAAGCATTGAAATATAAATATTTATTTTATTTCCCACAATTCCAGTGTATTCAGACTATCAAATATTTCACATAATAATCCCAACCCCTCTATGAATTTTGTCAAAGTACATATTCTTCTTACAGCAAGTCTGAGAATTAAGCCAATTTGCTCACTAATTCACTGACACTTCACTTCAATTCACTTCACTTTGGTTTTAACTAAAGCAGATGATCTACAACTCAAATATTACTTTTCATTCTATTACCAAGTGAGCAATTTTGCTAACTTGCTGCCCCAATACTTCTGAGACGTTCTTTTCATGCGTTATCAGTTAATTCGTATCTGACAAAAAATGACATAAAATTGTATTTTTAATTTTTCAGGGCACAAAACAATTGTGATTTGTTTGTTTTGACAAAAGAAGACCTGGATCGTGTACTGACTCACTATCCCATCATCAAGGAACAAATCTATAAAACAGCTGAGGAAAGAATCAATGCTGTGAGAAAACGTAGCAAACAGGCAGTCACTCCCCAGCCTGTAAGTTGTGTTTTCATTCATGCATCATTTAGATTTAACCTTGACTTTTAATATCTTGAGTCAGAAATGTAAATGAGAAAAATTTGTATTTAATTAAAATATTTGTACAGTGAAATTATTCTTCCTTTAATAACTCATAAGATGTTTTAGTCTTGAATGATTGAAATTTTGATATATGAATATTTATAAAGCAGTTATAAAAATGCCCCTTTTGACCATTTTTCATGACATTCTGGAATCTTGTATCTTGAAAAATTGTACGATGACCCAAATTTCTTTTCTCATTTTTAGCTCCGCTGTCAACTTTGTCGAGCGGAGCTTATCATATGAGTGATTGTCCGTCGTCACCCGTGTCAATGTTTTACTTTTTTGACTTCTTCTTGAAAACTACAAGCCTGAATGCTTTGATACTTGGTGTATATGTATTTTGGGTAGACCTCTCTCAGATTTGTTCATTTCATGATGATATCTTCAATTCTCTAATTTTGGTGAATATTTTTGTCATTTTTGGTAAAAAATGATATTTTCGACTTCTTGTTGAAAACCGCAAGTCCAATTGCTTTGATATTGCGTATATAGGTATTACATGTGGACCTCTCTCAGATTTGTTCATTTTGTAATGATATCTTTAATTCTCTAATTTTGGTGAATATTTTTGTCATTTTTGGTAAAAAATGATATTTTCGACTTCTTGTTGAAAACCGCAAGTCCAATTGCTTTGATATTACGTATATAGGTATTACATGTGGACCTCTCTCAGATTTGTTCATTTTGTAATGATATCTTTAATTCTCTAATTTTGGTGAATATTTTTGTCATTTTTGGTAAAAAATGATATTTTTGACTTCTTGTTGAAAACCGCAAGTCCAATTGCTTTGATATTACATATATAGGTACTACCGGTACATGTGGTTCTAACTCAGATTTGTTCATTTCATGATGATATCTTTAATTCTCTAATTTTGATGAATATTTTTGTAATTTTTGGTAAAAAGTGATATTTTTCCACATCTTGTTGAAAACCGCAAGTCTGATTGTTTTGATACTATACATATTGTTCCTTTTTTAATGATACTTTCTGTTCTTTAATTGAAATGTGAATTGCTAACAGCGGAGCTATCTCAGCCAAGAGGCTGCTTGTTGGGTATCCTGATGGAGGTATATATTAGGTGTGAAAAACATGGTGGGTCAAAACAGAGTGCAGAGCGTACTTTCTGAAAGGGACAGTGTGTGAATCAGAAAACAATAGAGTACAGACTAAACTAACTGTGGAGTACAGAAAACATGAACCCCCAAAAAATTAAAAAAAAGTTAATTAATTCATAATTATAAGGTTCTACTGTTCCCTTATAAAATATGTGCCCTAAGGAAAAATTAATAATGAATGTGATGCGAAATAAGACAGGCTTGTTCACATAATTAAAGTACTGGATTATTGGTATATTTGTTTTACATACAGACAGAATTCGAGAGATTAACTTTTCTTTATACATTATGTGTGCTTTTTTTCCTGTCAGGCAAAACCATCTGCATCTGCTAGTAAGCAGGAAAAAATTGATGAAAAGCCAGAAGATGACAACAAAAATGTAAAGACTAATGACAAAAAAGATGCTAAGAACGGCCAGCCATCTGGTGCAGGTGGCCCCGGTAAGTGTGTGCTTCATTGTCAACTTTATTTGATGCATATAAACCACTTTCGGTCGAGAGGAATTGAAATGATTACATGAAATAGGACACAATAAATCAAAACATTGTTAGAATAATTTGAAGCAGAGTTTTCTGAAAAAGAGAAATATATTAATGAAGAAATAAATTTGCCTTAGGTGGATGCATATATCATCATATACTACCGGTAGTGCATATGAATATTCACAATCAATTCATTATATGCTTTGTATTGCCTGGCCTCGGAACGCTATGGGAAGTGCACCCTCACTTCAGGGCAATAATTTCCTGTATCACGCCCGGGCTAGCGCGCCCAGCTTTCATAATTCAAAACAAAATGCGTCATTCTAAATGTTGTGTGTTTAGGATCACGCCGTGGTAAAAATGTAATTATACCTATAATGTATATAATTAAATCTTTATAGACTGAATCAGCTGTTGCTGCCTTCAGTGCAAGTTTCTGCCGTACGACCTCAGGCCACAAAAGCCGTATCTACATGTAGCCCATAAAAAATAGTTTTAAAACATTCTTCATAGTGATTTTGTGTTGTTGTGTTTATTTTCCTGTCCATTGGTGGGTAAATTGTGTTGCTTAAGGTAGAATCCTACTCATGAATTTAAAAACCCAGAATTTATTCATTTTGCAATAAATTGTACTCCAAGGCAATATAAGGATATTGACCTTTAAAAAGTTGGGGGTCACCAGTTTTTTTTTCGAAAAATTGATGGTTGTATTTTAGTGGAAAGTTGCCATTTTGACACTATTATAACACTTTTACCACAGGTTCCTACGGCAGAGATATTATGCAATATCTCACAATCTAGCCTGGTGACATAGGCTGAAAAAATAATATATTGTTAATGATGGGGTACTTGTTGTTCTGAATTATTTAAAAAATCTGGGATTTAAAAAGTGTCAAAAAATACAATTTTCCTTTAACAGTGTGTTCTATGGAATTGTTCTAAAAATAGCAATTTTCAAGAAATATTAGAACACGTTTCTCAAAAAGCATAACTATGAAACACAAAAATAATGCTACTTCATTGTACTATACGACATTTGCTTCATTATTGTACATAATAAACTAATGAACATTGTCATGTGATTTATGACCAATTTTGTCAAAAATTATGACTAGGCTTCTTCTATCTTAAATATTTGATTTATATATAACATTTTTTTTTAGCAGTTTTTATTAGTTTTTTGCTATCAACTATTTAATTATAATACTACTTAAACTTAGATAAGTTTATCACACAACACAATATTTAATTGTTTTTGTATAAACAAAACTTGATAGTTGCCATAAATATTTGCTGAGAATAAATGTAAATTATGTTATCTGTTCCTAGGACCTTCAGGCAGTGGAATCATAGATGAATTGACTATTGATCTGGAATCAGACATACTTCGTGAGCCAAATTACTGTAGTAGCATGTGTTCCAAGGAGAAGTTCCAGTCATGTCTGACTATTATAAGGAAAGCAAACAGTTTTGTGTTGGATCCAGATAGTCGTTTTGTGCGCTACCTCAAATATGTTTCATGCGTACTTGGATTTGTCACTTCCTGGACTATCATTTATGAGGTGAGAAGTGGTACTTTTGTCTGCAATATTTGAATGTGAAAAAAAAACAATATGCTGATATAATTTTATTTTCAGTGGATTTTGAGAATGTAAAATTAGTAAAACTTTTAACCATAAAATTTGCGATGCGATTACTTTGAGACAGAAATTAATTATTAAATATTTATTTCTCTGTCTTTGCAGGCTGCTTTTCAACATCATAATATTGGTATAATAATTTTTAGTTACATCTGTGAAGCGATTTTCTGGTTTGAGGTGAGTTTATACGAAGACAAAAACTCTTTAAATTTGGTCATCCTCTTCTTTGTGTGACATATATAAATATTTCTATACAATTTGATTGTTAATATTATTTTTTCATTGCCTGATAACTCATATTTTTCAGATCTACATCAAGTTCCATGTTAGTTTCAGTGACAAGTATGCAGAGCTGGAAAAAGATTTTGTGAAAGTGTACAACCATTATTTTAGATCAACCAACGGTTTTGTAGTGGACGTGGTAGCAGCACTTCCCATCGATATCTTTGCTCTGTGTGGTGGTACCGTACAGTCCAAGTATATGGCACTCTCACTGCTAAGACTTATACATTTACTCAGACTTGTACGGGTTTCACAGTTTTTTTCATCTTGGGAGAAAGAATTAGACATAAAGTGAGTGTATAATTTTGTTATTGTTTTTTTTTTTTTCTCTATTAGACACACATCTGCTATAAAAATGCACACAAACCCAAAATTGCATTTATTATATACAGGGTGAAAAACTTATTACTTATTAAAAACTACTTATTTTGGCCCTAGGCGACTAATAGAGCAAATACTGTATATTGCTATCAGTTTGTCTTGTCATCGATTCATCCAACATCAAAACCATTATATTAAAAGTAATGTTATATGAAAACTATGTTGGATTGTTCATATTGATGTGCGATATTTCTGAAATTTTATAACCAGGCTAGCAAACATTTGATACTTTTTAAATTGTTCGTTTGTAATATATTCTGCACTTTGATTGCATAATTTTTAGCCTCTGTCGCAGAGCACAGCCTGAGATTGGGGTTCACGTTCATAGATTTGGTTTTGTCTGTCCATCCGTCTGTATACGTCACATCAAACATGTGCCTGTGAAACAGATGATCCAATTTGAACAAAATTTTTGGACAAATTGTTCAGTGTAACGTGCATCAGCTCAGCAGGTCTATTATGATTCATGCACATTTCAGGGTATTTTTTGGGTAAAAAAGATGAGTGCATAAAAAGTGAATTCAATTTCATTTGATATTATACAAGGGCTATGACATGTTACAGCTTGTAATTTATAGTAAGAGGTTTCAAAAATTATTTATTTTCCTGGTTTGGTCTTTGTGATATGAAAAAACAAAAGTTGGATTTTAAAAACCAAATAATGTTGCCACGTATGGGTGGATTTACAACAGAATCTGAATCCTTAAATTCTTTGTCTGTGCCAAAATAAATGTGTAATTGAAAACTAGAAATATAATTTATGTTTAACTGCTTTTTCTTTTCTTTTTCCTCCAGTGTACTTTCTGTTCGGTTGTGTAAATTTCTGGTAGAGCTCTTTTTGTTGATTCATTTATTTGCCAGTATCTGGTATGTTATAGCTTGCCCACTAGGCAACTGCATGGCTGGCACATGGGCTGATCATGAAGGTAGGTTTACTGTATGTTGTGAAATGAAGCGGTTTGATGCCATTTACTGTTATTATATCATGCATGATATGATTATCACCAGATATCATTGATGAGATGCATTGTATTTAGATATGAAGGCTTCAAGTTATTCAACCAGTGAAATTATTACAAAACTGTGATAAAAATGACAATGTCTTTATCTTTTCACATACTGTGCATAAAATAAAATAAGTTTACCATACTCTACATGATATTATCGTTATTGTGAATGAATACGCGCCATGGTCATGTGATATTATGAAGTTATTACAAGGATACTATACAGATTGTAAAGCCGATGTATTGAGTGTCAAGTAGTTCATAAAATTTTGTGATATTTTAACTGAATATTATGTGTATCCTGCTGATACATGTATGAAGCCCAGACCGGGCAAGGTTGTGATAATTATGGAAATGTTGCCTTATTGTGCCATATATGGATTGGTACTGCCTAATAAGGTAAAAGATCTCAAACCACGATCCATAATATAAAATTACAGCATATTGACAGATGCACATTCACTGTTTTTGTTGTAGGTAATATAAATACTAGTATAATGAAACAGTATTGTGACTGTATATATTGGTGTGTAGCCACCATGACATCTACGGGATATGGTGATTTACATGCGTATACTATTGGAGAAATGGGTGAGTATAGTAATATGTAAATTTCATTTCAAGTCATATACTGAGAAGCTTATTTTTAAGTGTATCTTAATAAAGTTATGCTATGTACTGGATTAATTTAAAGCGTGCAAACAAGCGTCTACCCTTGAGACTTTGTGTTTTTAGTGTGTGTTGTTATCGTCGCTTGGGACTCAATTCCTGCACATGCGCAGGTGACGACCCTCCCCTTTAACCAGTTCCCTCTTTTCATCAAAAATTCACAAAATAGTCCTGTATATAGTCTGCACTTTCCTTCAGAAGATCAGAACAAAAATAGAAAATTCTTTTAATAAAAACTGAAAACTAACTCAAATTTAGTCTGTTGGCCCCAAAATCAGGTTTCATTTCCAGAAACAACGAAAAATATAAGAAAACAGTTCAGACAAATTTGGGCAAGAAAGTCTGGTGGTGAAACAGTTAAATGTAACAGAAAATGTTAATATTTACATGCATATATCAAATGATTATTCTTGGTTGTTTCTGTGTTATTCTTTCAGTATTTGCTAGCTTTGTTATGATTGTTGGTCAACTTATCTTTGGTTTTATCCTTGGTAATATTGCTTCCACATTGGCCAATGCTGATTCCAATAGAGTGTCCTTTGAAGAACACCTCACTGCTATCAAGGTAATGAGTGATACATTGATTTAAACATTAGTCACATTATTTGATTTTGCTCTTCGATGCATAGAGTGTGAAAATAATTATTGCTGAGAAAATCTAGATTTTTGACTACTGTGTTCATTTGTGGTAAAGTGGGAAATTTGTACCGTGACTCACATAATTTTATAAACAGAATAATTGTGAATCTTAGCAATAGACAAGTTTTGAATGCAGTCGTTACCTCAGAAACTTGGGCGCTGTGGAGTAAAAATTTTCTAATGTTTTTCTGTTTCTGATTTTGCCACATAAATGTTTAATAGCTCATCAGAATGCCTAGAACCAGGGTAACCATTAAACAAATTGCAAGCTAGAAGGAGATGCAATAATCAGATATGATGAAACACAAATGCACAACTCCCCAAGTTTTCAAAGATGAATTTAGATTTTAATTTTTTTTAACGACAACATTTAAAACATACCGAGGTATGCATTTTTCCAGACAAAAATTCTAATCTTCTTAAAGGGGAGACTGTCATCAATTGAACTATTACCAAGGACTACTATTATAATAGTAACTTACATATAGCGATTGTCGTTATATCTAATGTTAACAAAGGACATTTTTAAATATGGTGTAAATACTTTGAAACACTTAAATTTCTCAAAAGACCAATATGTGAGTCGGAGAAAACTTTTGCAAAAAATGTTCTTCATGAACTCCATCAAATTGTGAAAAATTCGAAAAGTAGTCTGGATGTAGATGTAGTGTTACATAGTTTACCCAAAAAAGGGAAATTTTGAACATTAGACTGAGTACAAATTGTTTTAGGTGTTATATAATATGATAATACTTGTTGTGTTTCATTCTTTCCCTAATTTCTTAGTTTTTTTCATTGATTGTTCGCAGGACATGATGAAAGATCAAGGTCTAACCAGTAAACTACAGAAAAGAGTTGTCAATTACTATGACTACCTCTGGATGAGAAATAAGTATGATACATTTCTGATAATATTACTTACCAGTATGAATTGTTATATTTCTACATAGTGCCTATTGTGCATTATACACCACTACATTAGTGACCATAGCTAGCATACATATATCGGGTAATGACCATTTTCTCAATTCTAGGGGTGTTGATGCAAGAGGCCTATTTAAAGATGCTCCATCCTGCATGCATGCTGAGATCTGCTTAAACACCAATGAACACCTTCTCAAAAACGTAAGCATATCCACATATAAGCCATAACATTTTTTTTTTTGTCCACTTTGAATCAAATCAAAGCATATCTAAGCTTGACATAAAAAATAAAACGATTAACCCCTTGTTAAATGAGGTGTTAACATGCTGTAAGTTGAAAAATAGAAAACATGCTTGGATGATTCAGATCATTTGTCTGAGTAACGAAGGATGCGTAATTCATGTTTATTCATAATACATGTGTTGTTCATTTCTACATGTAGGTGTCCATGTTCAAAGGTGCTGAAGATAGTTTCTTTCGAACACTATCACCAATGCTAAGACATCTACTGTATCTACCAAATGATTACATTGTTAGAAAAGGAGATGTTGGGAATGAAATGTACTTCATACATAGAGGAACCGTAAGTATTCATCCATAATAACTAATATGATTTGTAGATTGCTAACTGCTGCGTTGCTATGTAAATTTCGAATATAAACATCCAATAATTATCCAATTATAATGAATTATACAATGCTATATTTGGATTTGAAGACAATATTCTGGGCTAATGAAATCAACGTCTAATCCAGTATGGTTGTATGCTTTACTGCAAAGTACCTTATTTTTCATTTGGAATTTATTTTCATTGAAATGATGATTCAGTGAAGATAAAATCTAGCATATATAATTTTTTCCTATATTTTACATTCAACTCATCAAAAAAACAGTGAAAATAAATTCCATACAGAACACCCAAAAAGTCGTAATTAATTCCAGCTAAAATAATAAAAGTATTTTACAGTATTATTATAATAGTATTTACCAACTCGCATTTAAAAATTAAAACTCTGATACAATATTATGGTTTATGATCCTGTTTGCTAAAAGTTTATTGACACATACTGTATTTGCTCTGAATGACAATGACAAAAATGTGTCTATGGCCAACTTTTTTTTTATTTTTATGGCCAACTTAATGATCCTTTATGCAATAAATGCAATTTGGGATTAATTACTAATGATTATTCTTCTAAATAGAAGATATATGGTAATAAATTTGAAATGATTCTATCATTGTGATGTCTTATTCAGCATTCCCATTGCACTCTTTGATTTACTAGTACTTGGATAACTCTGTGTCTACCCTGGGGATCAATTTCAGGGCGACACATGGTGTCACGGTGGCTCATTTATGTGTGATGTATCTTTTTTTTCAGGTTGAGAGACTATCAAATGACAGTGGTAAAATACTTGGGGTTGGAGACTACTTTGACGATATCAACTTAGTATACGACGTTCCAAGGAGTTGTTCGTACTGTGCAACTGTGCATGTAGATGTGTATGCCTTATCAAGAGATGACCTACAGAGCGTACTCAAGCACTATCCCATAGTTGAAGCACAGATAAAAGACATTGCAGCAGAAATGTACGGTGAATCGTCGTCTTCATTTGCCGAGAACAACGGTGTTTATCTTGGATAACTCGTTGGTTACCACTGCCAAAACTTTGCTATGCACTTTCGAAAAGATAGCAGTTCACGTTGTATTTACATTTGGTGTAAGGATGAAGCAGCATATTCTTCTGAACCAAAATGGCGAAATAAAACTTATTGTGTTGTAGTTGTTAAGAAGCCGATATAGTTTATTATTGTTTTTTACTGTCTCAGGATAAATAGACTTTTTACAATGAATGTTAATGTATAGTATCTTTCAAGTTTGTAAATAAGGATGTTGTTGTTTTAGATAAAATAATATTAAGCCAAAATGAGAATTAATGTTGATGCTTAGTGTCAAGGGAGCCAATGGTTTGCAAGATGGTCCATTTTTTTTTTTAATATTTGCAAAGTTTACATTTGAGAATACAGGCAGGTGTAATTTAATCCAGTTAAAGGGTTGCCATACTTTTACTTGATTGTACGAATTACCATTACTCTCAGAAATGTCAAATAATACATTGCTTTCACTGGTCTTTAATTTTATATTTTTTAATTGTTGAATTTTCTCACCAAGAGAGCATTTTAAAGAAGAATAAAAAGGGCAATATTTTAGTTTAATCCAGTTGTTATTCATAAAAAAAATGTTATGAATTCAACCTAATATACAAATGTACCTTACTTGAGGAGCCAGAGTTTTTTAAGCAAAATTTACTGCCATCTAGTAGACTGCCATGCTTACTGCGTAGAGGTGCTTTTCTCATTTCAAATCAGCATGCAATAATATAGTTACATGTACCATGCAAAGTTCTACCCCGCCTCTCTCTCTCTCTCTTTCTCTCTCTTTATCCATTCCTTGATGGTACAGTTGTGAGCTATTTTCATGTAATGAAATATGGTTTATCAGGTCAAAGGCCGAATATGGGCTGTGCAATTTCACATTTAAGAATGTGGGCTTTCAGGGTTGAGATTTTTTAAGTTGCTGCTTTAGTTTCATCCTTTTAACTAACTTTATTCCGATAAAACCGAAAAATTGTACATAGAAAAAAAAAATAACCAAACAACACTGCACTTTATTTGTTCTTTTCAACTGTTGATATTGCTAGCTGTAAATAAATCCCTAACAGTTGTAAACACTTATCTTTATTGCTATTTATTTATGCAATTATGCAAACCTCAAAAGTTCTGAGGTTTCTGTAATTTGTTCATGACTATTATCAAACCAGACCAAGAATGGGCTGCTTGTAATTACTGTAAATATTTTACAGATTTTTGAATAAATTTCATGTATTATATAATTTTGTGTTCTTGAATTGTTTTGTGCATATTAATCAGACATAATTAACATAATTAAATATTTCTTGACAAATTAAGCCTATCAACTCAGATTCAGATCAAATCTGCTATCGGGGAATGCATTGCATGCAAATTTCTGATGACAACCAGCTTTCTAGAATGTTACGGATAAAAGCAAAATGGCTATTGAAGTTCACCACTGCAATGCTTTCCTACAGCGATTTCATGTTTATATTTTACCACATTACCCCTGGTATTAGTTTCAAAAATATAGTATAATTGGGAAATAATCTGCAACGATACAGTATGTTAAACTGTAAAATAACCGCTCTGCATTATCTCCTCATTTATAATATACCTTGTCACATGTTGTATGGTCCTGATGTAGGATGCATCTGTTTTCTAAAGCCTCTATTGTAGCCTCATACAAGGCAGTAATGTGTTT